ACCCGATCAACGATCACCGACGTTGTGTCGGTGGGGTGGGGTTGAGAGTGAAAGAAGAACAACCCACCCGACCGAAACAGTCATCATCTCTTGTTTCCCGCCTCGTTTGTGTGATTGTGTCGTGTTGTCAGTTTTGATTAGCGGTCTTGTCTTCGTGTCGCTTGGTGACTGACTCAAAAAGTACTATTGTTTGTTTTGGAAGAATTGAGTGCATTCGGATCGGACGGGGTTTAGACAGACCCGGTCCAATCGGTGAAGAAAGTGGCCGAAACACCAATCAGCTTGTGTGAGAATGTGATTGGTTGGATTAACCTGAAGTTACAATGGATTTACTTGAAGAACCCTCTCCCCCAAACTAGTGGTTCTTCTGCCGTCACACGCTACCCATTGGACTTTTGGACCCACTGGACGTCTATGAAAATGACGTCCAGTCGGAGTGAACTGATTTCTCCATAGGCAAACAAAGGTTTTTGAGTGATTTATTGAGCTGGGTTCAAAGGCTTGATGGCGTGGGTTCTGATGTTCGAACACCCACCCCACCCAGGAACGTCAAACCCTTGATCGTTGATCGAGCTTTGAATGTCTTTTTACTTCCATTTTCCGTTTATTGAATTTAAAAATGTACAATCAACTTTCATGAAGGGGACTGCGGCCATTCTAAGGCTGTCTGGGAAAAATACAGATATAGAGAAGACGGGCGGCGGTGGAGCGGTTTGAACCCGGGACACCCAGGTCACTAGTTGGTGACCTAACCACTTGGCCACCACCGCCAAGAGTGAAGGAAGCTGCCTATAACTGATATCGGTCAATCGGCCTCCTAAGGAAATAAATCACGTCAAAATGAATCAATAAATCGGTCACCATGGCAAAACGTGAATTCTGGCATGAATTATTGCTTCAGTGAGTTCAGACTAGGTCGTAAACAGTCTGGTGAGTAAAATCCATTGTGTTAGAGTTTCCCTTGAAGGACACTTCTCTTTTCTACTAAATACGATTGCCCACCTCAGTTCATTGCGGAAGGACGGGATTTTGCTAGACCGGGTCCAATCGATGACGTTTGACGAGTGAAACAGCAATCGCTGTGTGGGATGCCTCGGTCGAATGCGTTTGATTGAATTCACTTGAAGTTGAAAAGGGATAAACTTGAGATGCGTACATGGAAGAGATCATCCTTAGTGCATATCCGCCATCCTGTTCGGGCTTTGACATTCAGAAGATGTATTGCGACTATGTCAACTAGCTTACCCTCGGCCGACCGAAATAGCCTATTAAATTTTGTTCCAATGTTGTTGTCTTCGATTCTATTCCGTCGTTGGTTCTTTACCAACCATTGCACTATGTCCACACAAATTACAAGCCTTGAACCAAATAATGGAATCTAATTATTAACACAAAATGGTAGAATTCAAATTTCTGATGGGAAAAAAACAGATACGCACTGTTGATGAGCTCCTACCGCAAGAGAATTTTGAGTCTGTCTTTAAAGTGAAGATCAAATCTGTAGGATGGTCGTTTAAATCAGTATACCGTACCCAAAATCATCATTCAAAGGTCAATTTGAAATAAAATTTGTGCTCTCTGTATTTCGCAACAAGCCGAATTTTTGGCGCATTGAAATTATTTGTTAATACGCTCAGTTCTCCTGTGAACCGAAACAGAACAGTGTTTGTACTTTGAATAATGAACTTTCGAATGGAATCATTCAGATGAAAATTCACACGTTGACAAATGACTTCCGTATCATAACCATTTTAAATTCATAAAGCAAAACCGGTTTGTGTGGCATGGAACCCAAAACTTCACTGATTGCTGTACAAGATTGTGAAAATTCCAGAAGTGCTCTCAATTGATATCAACAGAATAGTTCATGTAATGGATGATACAAACATTTGCCCGGTATTCCACATTGGATGATTCAGTTCAGGGATAATTTAATCAACAAAACACGGTTATAAAGTTCCTCAAAACTTACCTTTTTGTAATCGGAAATCATTCCAAATTTCGCTTTTCCCCATTTGTTCCACCATCTTTGTCAGGCTCTGAAAACGAAGTGGTACATCTCACAAATTACGACCGATTATGTGATCAATCAAACATCACTACCGCGCAGCGTTCACTGACTCCCATGGAAATCACTTTCATTATTCTCCTGGTGCTATCTCTATGTCTGGGCGTGCCGGCACTTATATTTGGAGTAATACAAATTGCCTGATTGATTTTTCGTTTCATTTTCTATTTTATAATCCTTTTGCCTCTCCCATTCATTGTACACTAAACAGCTTTGTGATGAGACAAAGCCAACATTTACTTCTTCAATATACTCGTGTTTGTATCCGTTATAATCAGATTATGTCCAATCACTTGGTCCCGCGGAATCCGGGCAGTTTTGACCCCGGTAATTGGTTCGGAAGATCCAATCAATTACCAGTAGGGATTCTCTGAAGGTGGTGGAGATTTCACAAGGTAGTTATAGAAGTACCTCGTATCTGGAAGAGTCCAGTTTCCAGTCACACCACATCTTCAACCTTATTGAAGCCAGACCAAGTTGCGCTCGGTTATTTGGTAATTTAGATATCTCATCGTATTATCAATGTAACTAACACCTGGATAATTCGTATTTCAATTTAGTATTGATAGAGGATGGTTCTTTAGCGCTAGACCAGATTCACTAACAACAAGAATGAATCGATAAACGACATGATAACTGGATTGATTTCGTTAGTCAAGTTCAAGTTCACACCACAACAAACTCATTGAAGTGAACTCCTCTTAAGTGATATTTGTTGTCAAGTTTTGGTCGCCTAAACGATAACCACTTTCATAGTTTTCGAAACCTTTTGCAATCTCCCAGTCTGTACCAAAGCAAACATTTCCATAGGGCTTTAGAGGTCTATTGAATCCCTGTTGCTCTGGAACCATGATCCACGGATTGGTACTAATATGTGCATTGAATTCTGGCATTCGATATTTACAACATTTAACTACATAGTCTGTTCAACACCGTCTGATGTGGATTGCTTACTTTCACAGCTAATCCAATGGAGAGCAAACGAGAAGCAAGTGGAGATCCCGGAAAAGGAAAAAACGAAATTCAACTCCTACCTACTCGATCCGGATCAGGTGGATAGTGGTAAGTTAGGGAACAAGAAAATCCCCCGCGTTCGGTCGTACTCCTTCTTGTCCCGTTCATGTTATTTACAGTCATTTGAATTGTAAACAACTCAGTACGAGGGTGCAAAATCTCTGGTGCACAAAAATTTCGATGACATCTTTATCGATACGTTCAGTGAAACTATAACGAGGTTATTTAATGGTTAGACAAACAAATATAAAAACCCGTAAACGAGAAGTTCGACTCGATAGACTGAACGGAACAAGTGCATTTATCAAGTTCATAAGACGCATGTTACCATGTCAACTGACTGATAGGAAATCAAACACTTTCTTATACCAATCACAAAGGATGAACAATGATATACTTGTGCATTTTACAATAAGTTGTATGTTACTGACGAAAACAATAGTCTGGAAGCATTTGACCGGTTTAGCGGTTCTTGCCGCTCGTCAGGCATGAGTTATGGTAATGGCTCATTAGTGGACTGAATATAAATGGACTATCCAAACACATCCGATATTGCAAATGGGATGTGCTTCCTCGGTGCAAGTTTATGAATGAACTGATAGAAGAATAACAAATACGCATGACTGATATGAAGGAAGTGTGAATCCGCTTTTCAGATTCGCAAAGAGAGAAGATATACAATCGAGAATCATCCAAACCACAGTGATCGCTCTTTCGGTGAGGTGTGTTCACAGACAAGTTTACTTCAGCTTTTGATATGATGTTTCTATATGTGTAATCAGAAAGCTGTTGAAGTGAAACCCGCAGGATAATGCATTATGTTTTATCTCTCATGTATGCTGTCGATAAAATGAATAACGGATACAATTTGAAGGAGTTCTGGTTGCTCTCAATGAAATCCGGCAGGACGGGAGACCAAAGTTACTTTCCGTTTGAAGGGACGGTGATACCAGTTGTATTTGGCAGTTGACAACTCCCGGTGTTCTCTATGTTATTGAATCGAGAGGCCAAGATCGAAAATAGACAGTTAATTAAGGAAACTCAAAGCGATCAACATTTTAGCGTATAACGCTTAGATAGGATGCGGTAGAAAAAAACATAAACTTCGGGATAATTTTCGATTCTACTACCATTTTTTACTGTTTTCACAACATCTAAATTCATACATTTAATCTGAATGACAGATATGGTAAAATACTGCTTGTTTCCTCTTTGTGTTTCATGATTTATCAGTGGACCCGGACTCCAACGATACCCGAATATCACGTGCCATACTGACTTTGAAACCGACCGACGTTCGAATTGCGCGAGCGTGAGTCTCTAACTGATATTGATAAGCAAGCTGACCATCATGTGATGATCATAATTATCAGACCTGGTAGAACGGATAAACAAAACAATATTCAAGAAACGATCCAACTCTCTATTGTTTTTAATTCTAGATATCCGAATATCAATATCAGATGTCGTGTTGTTATGTGGATAGTACGATAGCCCGATTGCTCCATCGTTTCACACTGTCTTATATTTCTTGTGATGATCTTGACCTTGTTATCAGGTCCAGTCCGTCCGTGTGGTGATCACAATCCCGCTGGACAGTCGAATTTCACTGGGCTTGCCTAAGACCCACGGCTAAAGACAAGGTGTGAATCATCGCTCGGGTTAGCTGGGCAAGCACCAGGTCCCTTGTTGCGGCTGGACCATCCGACCGATTGATAAATGAACCCGATCAGTCGTGCCATGTTCGGACCGGCATAAAAAGAGGAGGATAAGTTCGGAATCCGATGCTGCTTGAGTGTTGGTAGAGAATCACCACAAGCGAATCAGTTGTGGAGCAAGGCGCCATGTGGGAAATTCAGAATGGAAAATGCTCAAGTGATGATGATACTGAGCCATCGCTTAACTTGTCTAAGATACGCGCACTATTTTTCTAAGCGGGTTCGGTAAACAAATAATCATGATAAAACTTTGAACTTGTCTTAAAAATGGACCACAATATTCACCACAATATACAACGGTTTGCGAGTCGTATATTCCCGAAAATCGAAAACGATCGAGAAACTATTACAGAGTATCGTCGCGCAATGCGAAAGTATTAAAATTACTACTTTTCTGAAGGTAGAATAAAACTAACTTCACCTTACAAGGAGCAGGTTGAAAAACAAGTAGAAAAACGTTATAAAATATATATGCACTTTTCGGTAGTATGCCTGCTCTCCTCCAGAATTCCAGCACCGCCGTAGTAAGCAAGATCGTTCAACGCGAAAAATCCAGTTGGTTAAGTTCCAAGAAGAGTTTTGTCTTGGCCTATATTAGTGGCTATTGTAGTCAATTCTTAAAACAAGTTCAAAGTTTTATCATGATTATTTGTTTACCGAACCCGCTTAGAAAAATAGTGCGCGTATCTTAGACAAGTTAAGCGATGGCTCAGTATCATCATCACTTGAGCATTTTCCATTCTGAATTTCCCACATGGCGCCTTGCTCCACAACTGATTCGCTTGTGGTGATTCTCTACCAACACTCAAGCAGCATCGGATTCCGAACTTATCCTCCTCTTTTTATGCC